TGCAGTGGACAAGACTGTCCGTTTATTATTATGTTACACGGTTATTTACAAACTTCAAATTCAAATGATGAATGAAAATCTGAGGCAACTTTTGAACTGTCCTACATGCCAGGAGTGGGGGATCTTGCAGCAACTGTGTAAAGTGTGATGAGTGAGCTGTGTTGAATTTGGTGACAACAGTGTGATTTGATTTTGGCATTTGGCGAGGACTGAAGACAAAGGCAAACTTCACTGCTAACGTAAGGATAGGCAACTCAACTTACACCACTGCTGAATTAGGCCAGGAAGCTGTTCCCTCTGTGATGCTTCATCCTAATCTTGTAATTCTTCCTTACTTTTTATTTTCTTCATATTAATTTTTATTCTTCATAGACTAATTTGTATGGAGGAGTAAATAATATACATGCATTACTAATTTACTGTACCTGAAAAGTGCCAGCTTGATAGCCCCAGAGGCTGAAATCCTCCCTATAACCTCCTACCAGATACAGCCTGGGAGTAGCAGTGGAAGCTCCCCCATGCTGCTTCAATCTTAACGTGAAAGGACCCTCTCTAGGAGTGAGAAGGCGGGAGTTCAGATTCTGAACATTCAGTCATTGGCCTCTCTGCTGAGAATGCCAACAAGCTAGCCAATCAGTGTCAATTATTTTTGCCACCCTGACGCTAGAGGGAGCTCTAGAAGGGATAGTGCCTCGACTACTGCTTCAGCAGAGCCCTGCAGAACACAGGAAATGCATGCCTGCTGGGAAATTTATGACTGTGCATCGTGCTCTCTCCACATTGCAACTAGCCACTTCTTAATTGGTGTGGCATGGGGGGCACTGCCCTGGCCTCACCGCCTCACTGTTCCTTTTGAAAGCCTAGGGTGCACTAGCAAGGAACCATGGTGGCACAGAGACTGCAGTTGTTCCTTGCCCCTCCACAGGAGACAGAAGAGCCAAGCCACATTGCCACCTTTCTCCTGTGTGGAGAAGGCCAAGAGGACCCACTTCAGAGGAAGAAACTAAGGCAGGGATGTTGCAGGGCTACCTCATGCTATGAGGGGATGCTTTTTCAAGGTACAATACAAAATAAGAGTAGCACATAGCTATTATTGTTAGAATGCTTGACAGAAAATGTCTCTTAGGAAATCACTTAAACTTTGGACATCATACTTGTATTAAATGCTGATCTTGTATTCAGTTTCATCAAATGTAGATCCTGTTTGGTGATTTGTTTTTCCCTACAAATGTTAGTAATAACTTCTTTTCTACCTATTCTATATTTCTTTTTCCTGGATCCACAAGTATTGCCAGATCAGGACAGATGTGGCCCATTTAACTCAATATTCTGTCTCAGGCACTGGACCAAGTTTTAATTAGTGAAAAAGAAAAGATGACCTTATAGATGCTCTCAATGTTTAGAGGCCCATGCTCCAGAGTGAATAAAATACATGTAACTATAGAATTGTGACATTCAAGATGCTGGCAGCATCTAATTGATTTTTATTTATTTATTTGGTCAGTTCTTACACTGTAAACATTTATATGGGGTATTTAGCTGCATACCTTACTGGGCATCCAAGTTATAGATCCTGTGACATTCATAGTGGGTTTTGTTTTGTTTTTTCCGCCAGCTCCAGTCAATACCTAGTCACTTCCTTTCTGCAAGCATTGGTCAGACACATACCTTACAAAACATTAGATTATTATTATGGCCTTGATTTACAGGAAAATTGTGTCCTTTTAATGTTAGCTGTGGAGTCAATAAAATTTTGCCTGGAAAGATGCTATAAGCCTCTTTTTCTGCACTGCTGGCAATCCAGTAAGTGAGAATTTAGAACTTCCATTCTGTTTACCACTACAGAACGATTATTATTAATGGTTGTGAATAAGAAAGTGGTATTACTTCAGACTTCTTTATAATTCGGTATTAAACTACTTACCAACACTGCTGTCTCTGATCAGCAAAGATGCTCCTAAGTATGACTGTATCTGTGTTATTTGAAAGGGCTTCAAGGACATCTGAAAAGCAGTTTAAAGCAATTACTGTCTCTTCCCAGACCGTGCAGGCTAACACAGACTGAAATGCTGCAGAAAAGTAGATTCTACACTGTACATATTAATATCAAACTCTGCCACTGATTTTGTTGAGAATCAGAACTTATGTTTAAATTAGTCTCATCAAGTGAAAGTGGTTTCTAATGACAAAGTCACTAACCTTTTATGTTTACCAAATTAATTTCAATTTATACACAGCACCTTTCATTCTGAAGGATCCTTGTGCATTAAATAAATATACTTTATATGCTCTTTACACAAACTATAATAAAGAGCATTATTAAGCTTGCAAACCCAATCTCTCAAAAGTTTGGAAATTACAGAAGTAATGTTGCCTGTGATGGATTTGCTGTGGGGATGAATCAGAGTAGTGCAGTGAAGGAGACTCTTGTCTGCTTTATTCATTACAGAAGTTGGAAGACGTGTGCCTCTTGTGGGTACTGGGGGGATGGGTGAGCCTAGGCCTTCCCAAAACTAAAGGCTCCCTCCCCCCATGATGGGGTGGAACCACATCTCCCAGATACCAAGTGATTATGGGGACAAGAAATGGAAAAAACAGGAATGGAAGTGCAGGTCAAAGGTTGAAAATCAGTGTTCTGGATGGGGAGTGGATGAGGCAGGGGATTGCAGGAGGAAAGGATGGTCATGTTTTCTGCCCCAGAAAACTGCATTCTACCTGTGTCTCTGCCAGGGTGGAGTTCTTGTGTGAATGATGCTAGTCAAGTTGTTTAAATCAAACTCAACAGCTGGTCTCTAATTGTGTTTCTGACTTTCTAGGTACCTGACTTCAGCTTCTGGGCTCTGATATGCAGGAGTGCAAGTCAAAGGGAGCTGTACTTTGAACATCTAATGTATTGTGTTAACATAAACATGTCCTAGATGTCTCAAACTGGGTAAAATTAGTGGATGCTTTTGACCTTAATCTCTCTGTGCTCCCATATCTCACCTGAAAAATGGGGCTAATACTCCTCATCTCACAGAGATGTGGGAAAATTCATTAATATTTTTGAAGCACTCAGATACTATAGTGGTGAGTACATAGAAAAGCCCCTGAGGAAACTAATGATTGTCTTCAGAGTAGGGTTTGAGTAGTGTGCAGTAAAGGTGGCATGGAGCCACACAGCGAACAACAAGGGGAAAACAAAGCATTGTATTCCTGCTTGTTAAGCAACAAAATAAGTGTGTTCTAGCAAACAGAGCACTGGACTAGGATGCTGAAGACCGGTGTTCTATTCCCAGCTCTACCAGTGGCCTGCTCAGTGACCTTGAGCAAATCATTTCCCCTCTTCGTGCCTCAGTTTCTCTAGCTGTTAAATGAGGATAATGATGCTGACCTCCCTTAAAAAGTGCTTTAAGATCTGCTGATGAAAAGTGCTATATAAGAGCTAAGTATTAAGTGATCACTGAATGAAGCAGGAGTCCTTTGGAAAAAATAGTATGTGATCATGTCATTAAGCTGTATTATAATTTGACCTCTTTGAATTCATGCATTAAGGCTGCACAGGCAACCTTTAATTCTGGCATTTCCTAACTTTTGAGTGCTTGACCTTAATTTTTTAATGTAATTTTTATGTATGTAACTTCCTAGCTTTTTAAAAAAGCAAACTAAAAAAACAAAGTCTATCATGTGGTATTATATTGGCAGCCCCACGAGTCCTAGGTTGGAACCTTTAGTTATACTATGGTATAACAGGTAGTCTCTGCTCATCAGGCTTCTTATCTCAGTGTCCCTGCCTTCAGCTCCCTGACCCTGTTCTCCTTGCCAAGTCAGTCCCAGGCCCTCATACAATTTCTCTCCCCTACCTGTCTCTCATGTCCTCCACATACACTGTCCCCACTATCTATTCCCACCCTTTCTCCGTGTGTTCCTTGTCCAATGTCAGTGTCCCCCTAACTCCTTGTCCCAGTCTCTTTATCAAACATTCCCAATTCTCAGCCCAAACATAATTTTGCCAAACTTTACTAAGCATCTGAGAACAGGGTCTTACAGACACAGAATGTAAGACTAGCCATACTGGGTCCGACCAATGGTCCATCTAGGCCAGTATCCTGTCTTCTGAGGGTGGTCTATGCCAGGTGCTTGACAGGGAATGAACAATTATCAAGTGATCCATCGCATTGTCCACTCCCAGCCTCTGCACAGGACTCAAGCGTGAATGACAGTAGAAATGCAGCTCTCTGTGAATTGCACCGTGCAGCTGAAAAAGACTTTATGCAACTCAAACAGAAGGAAGTGAGATAGGAGGAGCATGACTAATAAGACTTTGCATTTGTCTGCGCTTATCATCCCAAACCCTCGAAGTGCTTTGCAAGGAGTAGATAAAACTCACAACTCCCGTTTGAAGTACTAGACTGCTGATGTGTGGATGTGCCCCCAGGCCACTGCTTACCAGTGGGTGGAAGGGGAGCATCTCACCTGTTGGACATGGCCATAGGCCTCCCAGTTACTGTAGGGCCAGGCGGGGACAAGCAGGGGTCTGGGTGGTAGCCCCGGGGCTGCTGTGAAGCTCTGAGCAGGCAGCAGGGCCATGAAGAGGGGGGCACCGCCCTGCCCTGTTTTAAGGCCCGGCTGTGCGCTGCGGCCCTGTCTCCCGCACGGTGCGTGGGTGAGCTGGGGGCACCTCGCAGCAGGCCCTGGCCGGCATCGGGACTAGGGGACCGGAGAGCCCGGCCACGCGAGCCGGGGGGGGGAATATCGCGGTAGGCCCAACCCCGGCAGCCATGAGGCGAGACGGGGCGGGGCGCTGTCCCCACAGCCCGCGGGCTCTCCCTTGGCCAGTCATATCGCGACAGGCCCTATCGCGGTGGGGGAGCGAGGGCGAGTCCGGGCCCGGCTGGGGCGGAGGCCGCGGCCCGGGAACGTGAGGCCGGGCAGCGCCCGCCCGCCAGACCCGGCCTCTTTACCCGCCCCCGCCCCCCGGGCCGAGCCTGGCCGGTCCCGCCGGCGCGGCGGCTGCGCACTGCGGTTCTGCGCTCTCATCATGGCGGCGCGGGGCCATGTGCAGGACCCCAACGACCGGCGCCTCCGGCCTATCTACGGTACCGACCCCCCCGCCCCCTCACCGGGGCTGTCCCCGCGCCGCGGCTGGCACCCGGCACCTCCCCGCCCCTCCGACCAGGCCTCGCCACGGCCACGGCGTCGCGTGGTTCCCGCCGCCCGGGGAGCCCCGCTGGGCCGGAGACTCGGCCGGGAAGGGCTAACCCTCCTCGCCCCCGAGCTCCTGCAGGGGAGCGGGGCTCAGACCCCGGGCGGAGCCCCTTGCGTGAGGGGGAGGCGCCCCTCTCCAGCTCCTTCCCTCGGGCGCCCTTCACCCCCCTAGCCTGCCCCTCTGTGCCACCCAGCTCTGCCCCCACAGGGGCCCCTCACCCCTCCTCGGGGGCCCCCGACCCCCATGTCTCCCCACAAGCCCTGGAGGCGGGGTGTGTCCCCTTGATTTCCCTCCTTCTCACTTAGCGTGGCCAGGTGCCCCAGTGTTGGGGGTTTGTCTTATATCGGCACCTATTTCCCCCCCCCCCAAAAGTGTCCCAATTTTTCACACTTGCTATCTGGTCACCCGATCCCCATTATAAGCTCTGTTGGGCTGGTTTGCATCTGCTATTGGAAATAACATGTGAAGGGACCGATCACTATTAAGCTTCCCTCCCTGAAGCACGTGGGGCCACCATGGGGTAAAGAGGCTTTACAAAGTGTAGACCCTCTGCTTGGGCTAGGGAGGAGAGAATTTCCCTGCTTCTCCTCACCCCTTACAAATCTGTGATTAATCATTGCTGGTATTTGGAAGTGCTCAGCCCAGGATTGCTAAAGGAGCTATTACTGCAAATTGTCAGTAATTGTGTTTACATGGTGAGAAACTGAGGGATTGGCCCTTTCTTCCTCTACCTGGTTGGTCTTTGGCCCTATGTTACTGTTTAGCCCTCAACACCAAGTTGGTAGTGTTCAAGGCAAAATGTAAAGAGACTCCCTGCCCCAATTAGCTTGCAGTCTGTTAGGGTTGTAGAGTGGTTTATATCTACAATTGGGAGCTGGGGAAGCTATTAATTATTTGCACGATAGTAGCACCCACAGTATACTAAGTGCTGGCCACCATCCCTGCCACAAATAACTTCTTTCTCCTGCGTCCCCCATCCAAAAACTGATCCCTGTCTTTAAATATGACTTTCTCACCAGCATTAGAGAATGTATTTGTCCTATTTCACTTCTGTATATTTTTCTGTAGGTTACATTACCCTTTGCTAAATATATTACCCCATGCTTTAACTTGCTGTGCAGCTTTGATATCCTTCCTTCCTTGTCTTCCCACACTTGGAAACCTCCCAATTCTCTAACTCTTGGGGGGAGAGAAGGGAATGGTATAATTTCTTATTAATTCTTGGACAATTGCCATGTTAATTTCTTTTCCTCCTGGTTAAGAGAATTGTGTTCCCAGTTTATGTTGTTTTGCACAAAAGATTGAGAGACTTGTAAGAGTGGATGCATATTTTTTAATGCAGAATTGAGCTTTCTTTCCCCATCTGCCTTTGCAAACAAACATCAAATCTTCCCCATGCAAAACTGATTTTTAAGTTAGAAACTCATTTATCTGTGAAACTAAAAGGGGCAAGAGAAGCCACACACTCTTTAAAGCTGTCGATTGAAATATTGAGGCACCTAGATATCATAGTGATGGCTATACAAAAATCAATAGAGAGAAAAAGCAGTGAAACTTTACAAGAGCGTAGTCTTGTTCAGCAACCTCCTGTCTTAAAAGTCTGCCCCAAAATATCCTTAAGTATTGCATGCAGTTCTTCTCCAGCTTTATTAGGAGGCACATTGGTTAAGAAAGTAGTTGAAAAATGTTGCTCTATATTTGTGCATGTGCCACACTGGGATGTTGTTAAACTTCTAGAATCCCAGAACAGATAATTTAGAGAGTGCAGAAAATGTGCTTGACTTCCCATATGCAAATAAATCACTGGTTAGAAACACAAGGGGAATTGCATTTGGTTAGGGATGAACTTGTTTTTTTTAAGTGAACCATTCATGTTTTAAGTACTTGTCTCACAAAGAAAACTTTGCAGGTAGACCCCTGCATCCCAGGTTGAATTCTGGTGAAGTCAGTGGAGGCAGTTCTCTTTATGGGATTGGGACCATAGCTACTTCTACCTGGTGTTAGTTAAAATACTGTAAAGAATAAAAATATAAAGACATGGTTATATTAAAGAAAAATAAACATTCCTTACAGAAATTGTAATTGTAGCTCTCTAGTTTGGTTCAATGTGATGAACTGAAAGTTTTTCTGAATTTTCTATGGCATGCTCCGGAATTGCTGGCTTTGTATGTAGTGATACATTTGCAAAGTGGCTTCTTAAACTAGAGAAAATTCAAATTTAACTGTTAGAAAAACTGTAACTTAAAAAAATTAAGCCAGAAGACACTGAAATATACTGACATTTTAACTGAGATGTATTTTGGTGTTTCAGCCCCTACCTAGTAGCTGTCAGAGAGAGTGTAATGCCTTTTAAAATACCATGTGCTGAGTGCACGGTGTTGGCTCTAGAAAGCATCACTGGGAACCTAAGGTGTTGTGGTTAATATTTGGTATTTATAGTCCTTAATAAATGAAGCATGGCTTCTTAAACATGTAATTGTGTGGCTTTTATTAAAGGCCAAAAAGTAAACAGATTTTGTGTGGGGTGAAGGTTCTAGTTACTTTGCTTGTAACATCACTTTTCTGTTTGTACTGTGTACTTGATTACTCAGGATGCCTTGACAGTTATGTCCATCTTTTATCTTAATTTGTTGTACATTAATCAGGAAGTTAATTATGTTGGGCATTTCCATTCATTTAAAATCTCCACCCATAGACTTGCTATTAATAATCTGTACTTTAATATTTTTCTTTAGTTTAAGTTCTTTTGTGATAAATGGAAGATGCCAGTTCTTTTGGTTCCTGAGAAACTTGTTCATGTTGTTGACAATACATAGTCCTTATTCTGCTACTATTTAGAAAGCCTTGTGACTTGTGTGTTACACTGCTACCTATAGCAGAGATCTTATCAGTGCAGCTAGATAAGTTTAACAACCCCAAGACAGTCAGTGCAAACTGGATAAGAACATAAGAACGGCCATACTGGGTCAGACCAAAGGTCCATCTAGCCCAGTATCCTGTCTACCGACAGTGGCCAGTGCCAGGTGCCCCAGAGGGAGTGAACCTAACAGGTAATGATCAAGTGATCTCTCTCCTGCCATCCATCTCCACCCTCTGACAAAGAGAGGCTAGGGACACCATTCCTTACCCATCCTGGCTAATGGCCATTAATGGGCTTAACCTCCATGAATTTATCTAGTTCTCTTTTAAACCCTGTGATAGTCCTAGCCTTCACAACCTCCTCTGGCAAGGAGTTCCACAGATTGACTGTGCAGAGTGTGCGCGTACCATGAAATACAAATCCGTGAACCAAAAAACCCATCAATTTATAATGAGGTTACCAGCTTGTTCAATTTCATAATTTTTAAAACGTCTGTATTCGGCAAATCTTTAAGGTCTAACAAGCCTGGAAGGGCATTGGAGAGAGGTTGCTGTGCATCCTTTTCAGAACAGCCACCTCTTATAAAGTCATAATATCATTTTACCCTGTTAGTTGAAATACTTGAAAGTTTTGTTTTAGTTAGTATGGACAGACTGCACAATATGCACTTAACCTATACAATCTCCCCTCACCCCCGCCAGTTCATTTAGCAGTGGTTCAATTCTTTAGCATAGATACTACCATAGAGGCAAATGTTAAAGGCCATTAAATGTAAATCTCGGTAATATGGATATGAATTTTGTAGAATATGGCAGGAAATTACTAAGGGTCATCTTCTTAACTCAGTGGAATCCGTCCTCATAAGAAATGCAGTCCTAGCAAGAAAGTGTATAATTTAATTTCAGTTAGCTAGTGTTAGCTCCTTACCAGGAATTTAGAAGAAAATTAGGAACACTTCACTTATGCTTTTTGGCTCATTGGATACATCCCAGTTGTTTTATGCTAGGTTTAGGTTAACAAGTCTCAAAAAGTCTGACATGGTGCAAAGATTGAGTGGGTTTATTGTTCTCTTCTCAAATTAATCTCTTATTCTGATTTCAGTAATTTTCAAATAATCTGAGTGTATCCCATTGGAGTTAGAAGTGAGAATAGTGATATGAAAATGAGAAAAGAAACTTTTAAACTGTATAGCCACATTTTTCTAAAGGTATGTCGACACTGCAAAAAAAAAAAAAAAAAATCCACTGTGGCAGTAGGTCGTAGAGCCCAGGTCAACTGACTCAGGTTCACAGGGTTTGCGCTATGAGACTAAAAGTAATAGTGTAGATGTTCCTGCTCAGGCTGGAGCCCTCCCCGCTCACTGGGTTTCAGAGCCTGGGCGCCTGCCTGAGCGGGACTGTCTGCATTGCTATTTTTAGCCGTGTAGTGTGAACCCGAGTCAGTTGACCCAGGGTTTTGTGCAGTGTTAGACATACCCTAAGAGATGAGAATAATGGAGTCTTCTTCCATGACTTGGGGGAAGTCTATGCTACAATATTAAGTCGACCTAAGTTATGATGACGTACAGCCACCCACAGTAACTAAATAACTTTTGCATGTCCACACCGTGCTCCTTGAATTGGTGATGCATGTCCTCACCAGGAGCGCTTGCACTGATTTAACTGTCAGTGTGGGGCATTGTGGGATGGCTTCTGAATGGCAACAACAGTTGATGTAAGCAATGCAGTGTCTACGCTGACAGTGCGTCAACCTAACTACATTGACCTAAGCACTACACCGCTCGCAGAGGTGGAGTTATTAAGTCAGTGTAGGGGGCGAGTTACATTGGCGGGAGCAACATTTTAGTGTAGACACTTACAGATTTAGGTTGATGTAAGCTGCATTACGTCAAACTAACTCTGTAGTGTAGACCAGGCCATGGGCTCTTGCATGCTACAGTAATAGAAAATAATAATTACTAATTGTGGAATAGTCTCCATAGAGCCAATGAAAGCCTCATTATTTGAGTGCTTTAAAACTTGACTAAACATAGCATCATGGAATATTAGTACGGTGCGAACCTGCACTGATTGAGGAATGGATCATATAACCTAATAGGTCTTTCCATGTAATGATAGATTGCAAATGTCTTTTCAGGTCTGATCCACCACCACTTAAATCCATGGAAAGACTCCTATTCGCCTATCAAATTCACTTCTACTTGTAACTAGAGCAAAGGATGTCAGCCTAGTCTTTAGTGGAGAGAGGCTCGGATCTGAAGCCATTGTGCCTTGTCATATTATTATGTATCCTGAGCTTTTATCAGGAAAGACCAAAAGAGTCTCTTACTGTACTTTGTGTTGGGATGACTGAAACTAGAACAAACGAGATATATTTCTAAGATGCACTGTGGAAATGGTCACTGAACAGGCATTCAGTAGTTGTGAACTGAACATTCATTATCACTCTTAACACCACAGACCTTCCCCCCCCTCCTTGAGATTAGGGAATTAGATATCCATCTTTTCTTTGCTGTCAGTTGTAATCACTGTGTGTTTTTATGTAGATTATCTTGATAATGGCAATAATAAAATGGCAATCCAGCAGGCAGATAAACTGCTAAAAAAACACAAAGATCTTCACTGCGCTAAGGTAAGTTTGATTGCTCTTCATTATGTTATTTTACTGAACAAACACAGTTCTGAAATTTGGAGAAATTCTGCTGTCCCATTCAAGCTTCCAGTAATCTGTGATATATATATTGTTTTTAACAGAGGCCACAGTGTTTCTTAAAATCTTTCAGAAGGTTAATAGAACACTTTCAATCATGTAATATCATGTTTGTTTGAAAATGTGTTAAGAAATGTTACTTTCTAAACTGCAAAATTCTGCCCTTTGGCTGCTATGATGTTACCAGGGCTTCTGCTGTTCTATCCCTCTTCCAGGCTTCTGGCTACTGATGCAGCTGCGACTTGTCAGAGCTTTCCCAAGCTGCTGGAAAGTGAAACAGATGTGAATATTGTTAGTTTCTCTTCTGACCACATAGTTCTGAATAGCAGTAGTGAAAACTGGTGAGACTGGTTGGTTTTCACTCTGCTACAGCTAGGGAAAATTGAGCAGCAGCAAAAGCACTGAAACTGGCAGTCTACACAGACTGAGGAAGGCAGCACTGCATCATTTTACATCAGTGGTTTTCAACCTTTTTTCATTTGCTGGCCCCTAAAAAATTTTGGGTGGAGGTGCAGACCCCATTAGAAATCTGAGACATAGGTTGAAAACAACAGTTTTACACTATTCACATTTGGAAGTTTTTCTTCGCAACGCCTCCCCTCCTTTTTATTTTTATTTTATTAAATGGAAGCTTAGATTCTTCAGAAATTGATGGCACTCACTTAGACAAGTCAGTTTCTCACCATGGGCAAGTGGATTTTTCTCTAATAATGATCCTTTGTTTCAAAATAAGTTTTTCTTTTGTAGATGTTGGCAATGTTTTTCAATAGCTGTTTCTTTATTACATGTGTAGGTTTTAAAGGCAATCGGCTTGCAGAGAACTGGGAAACAAGATGAAGCATTTGCTCTCGCACAAGAAGTAACAGCACTCGAACCTACAGATGACAACTCTTTGCAAGCACTAACTATCCTTTACCGGGAAATGCATAGACGTAGGTTTTTTTATTTTACTTTTCTCCTGCAAATTTCAGTTTCTTGATCATAATTATGTAACCTTTCCTTAGACCTTTCTTTAAAATGAATTATTGCCCAAAATTCAAAGGGAAATGTACAAAGTCCAGTTTTCACACATGGGCATTTTAATAGGTGGTTCAGACATGGGATTCAGATGCCCAGTTTGGCACAGAACTGCGTAAATGCCCCTTTGACATGCAAGTTTCTATTTGATCATCTTAAAGCAAGATGTTCTGGTTAGGCTCCTATTATTGAAAATTGGGTCCAGAGTAATTTTAACATTGTATGTTAGTCATAATATCAAACAAATTCATTCAAATTTATTCCAGCAAAAAACATGTGGTGTTATTGTTGTTACTTTAAATAGGAATAATGTAAATCATAAACGGCTAATACTGTGTATGAATTTCGAAGAAGCAATTTAAAATAATGTATATAGACACAATCAAGAAATTTAGCCCCTCAAAATGGCTTTAGAAGTTGTGTTGCAGACTTGGAGGGGAAATCCTGACTCCTCCCTTTCCTGTTACTCTTTTCAAAACAATTCATCTGAATCATAACTTCTTGGGTCATTCAGTAAACAAAGTTGTGCATGCTTTCTACGAAAGAGAAAGCATATGTGGTTTGGTTAGTCTACAGCACAAGGAGATACCTTATCACTATCCTGAGGAGGTGTCAGTAATGTTCATTATCAGGTTTATTGCAGAAATGATTGTAGACTGAAAAACTGGGGGTTTTTTTACATGAGAAGGTGTAACTGTCCAGGGCCATTTCTTGACATATAGCAACCTCTTGTGTCCGTTACTAGTTAATTTCCAGTACATAATCTTTGCTTTGTTAAAGCACTTTTATTGTAATAATATGAAACCTCTTCATATCTGCCTTTAAATCTTTATTTCTACATTTCTCAACTTAAAAACCAGAAAAATATAAACATAAATAGAACTGACTGTAGTACACGTAGAAATTAATTATTCAAGAATATATAAAATCATACTAAACCTTATTAACAATAATACCTTGCACATATATAGTGCTTTTATGTGAAGAATAATTTGAGTTTTTAAGAAAAGTACATTCAATAATGATTGTGTGAGTAAGTACAAATAATTTTTGGGTGCGAGGGGGAGAAGGGATGTTAAAATCAAATACAAATAGTGTTTAGGGCTCCTAAATATCTAATCATAAGAGGCCTATATTAATAGGTTTATCTTGAAATAAATTATCTTTGTATTAAATTATTAAAGGAGATGGAAAGCATAAAAGTCACTTGGGAAAGATCAGGGCTTTTTAATGTATAGCATAGTCGCTCCTAATACGTTCGGCAGTGGTTCTCAAATTGTATGTCGGAACCCCAAAGTTGGTCATGACCCCATTTTAATGGGGTTGCCAGGGCTGGCGTTAAACTTGCTGGGGCCTGGGGCCAAAGTGTCCCACAAACCCCTCTGCCTGGGGCCGGAGCCTTCAGTCCTAGGTGGCAGAGCTCAGGTTACAGGCCCCCCGCCCAGGGCTGAAGCCCTTTTGGTTTTGCACTCCCCCCCAGGGCGGTGGGCCTCAGGCTCGGTCCCCCATCCTGAATTGTGTAGTGATTTTTGTTGTCAGAAGGGGGTTGCGGGGCAATGAAGTTTGAGAACTGCTGCATTAGAGAAGTTTCCTTAAAACGATTTAAACTTGAGGAATTCATTCTGTGTCTTAATAAATCATGTATTTAAAGTAGACAGTCTCCACGTGACCCAAGTACAAATCTTGAATTGGTGTAATGCCCCCAAATGGGTGAATTCGGAAGTTTTTTAACCCCAACACATGACGTACCTGAAAGCATTCAGTACGTTTCTGAACGTTTTAGTCTTTTTCTTTTTTATTTTTTTTTTATTTTTTTACACACACTCTTTTTCTAAACATTTCTCTTTCTTGCCTACTGTGTGTTTGTGGGGGAGATAGACCAGTTCCTATAGGTGTTGAGTGTAATTGAATTACTCTGCAAAGTATCCCAGATGTTATCTTGAGGTAGCTGCTTTATAACTTTATATTCCAAATGTGTGTGAACTGAAACATCTGTTTTTGGTTTAGCGGAGTTGGTAACAAAACTTTACGAGGCAGCTGTAAAGAAGGTTCCCAACAGTGAGGAGTATCATTCTCATCTCTTCATGGCCTATGCCAGGGTCGGGGAATACAAGAAAATGCAACAGGTACCTTCATCCATTTCAGTTATAGTAATCGTAGGTGTCGCATTTAACAATGGTGGGGGCAAAGTTGTTAGAAGTGTGGTTTTTGTTTTGTTGTTTCCTCCAATGAAACAAAGTAACTAATAAATCTAACATTTCCCTAAGGCTCTTTTCTGTATCATACTGTACTAGTGACCAGCACCTTTTAAAATTATATTTAATTTCCTAGAAAGCTGAGCTGAATCAATACTAAAATTCTACGTCATGATTAAATATTTGATACAGGGTTGGTTAGACAGAACTACTACTCAGATTTGTGTTTTTTATATAAAAGACAATTGCTTCCTTTCCCCTTAAAAGGAGAAGAATAACTTTATGAACTGTAGTCTGTACTGATGCAGTATGTTGGATGGTCTTCTTGGCATAGTAGCTTCCTATTGATACCTATATCAGAGAGTACTACGTTTGCACATAAGGGAGTGTATTAGGCAGGAATATTTAGCTTTACCGAGAGCTCCTGAGGGCCACAATTTCAAATAATGTACAAACTTTTTTTGTTTTCTTGTTTTTGCCCGCACTCTTATCTCTAGAAACCAGTGTGGAGTTAAATTGTGCAGCTTGTATTTTGATAGAAGAAAAGCTTAGTTGTTTTTTCTTTACATGCATCTTGGTTTTCAGTTGGCAAGACAATCTCATGCCTGTTAGTTTTGTTTTTCATTCTTCCCAAATTAGGTGCCTGGAGAATGCCTATAAATGGAAGTCTCTTTTCAAAGCGTACACACACTCCCTCTTTTATGTATAAAAAAGCAAAGGGAAGCAGGCAAATTGATTTCAGGCTCTCTCTTCCCACTGTATTAAGGCGAATCTTTGTACAAAGACCCTGTCTCCTCAACCAAAAAATAGAGTTGAATAATGGCGATTAATCTCTGTGTGGCCCAGCTGTAAGTGGCTTAATTCGATTGGGGACTGAATCATTGGTATATATGGTGCCTTAGAGAATGATTAACTTTTTATCAAATGACTCTTCATAAAAGGCTTAAATCTGCAGTATCATTGTAAAATCATTGTGTCTCATTTCAGATCTGTCCTGAATTGGTAGGTTAATTTAGACTGCTACTTAAAAATAGTTCTTATTGTACTAATCGCTTCTCGGTTCTCTATGAGCTGAGGGGTGAAAACATTAGTACTTTCAGTATTTATTTAAAAATAGCTGTAGATTTGACCACAACACCAAGGAATGTATCTGGTTTGCTAATCCCTAAATTTGCTACGACTATGCTTGTTACCTGATTGTTACCCACTTGACTCATGTCAGTGAGACTGAAGTCTCAGAACAGCCAACTACACCAATCTCTTGCAAGCTGTGACATTGCACTGATATACGCATATCACCAAGTTACAGCTTTATTAATCAGAGGGAAATATATATTCCTGCAAAGTGCTAAATACCAATACAGAGAGATCTGGTTTATTCTTGTTTGACATACCTGCATCTGAATATCAAAACAATTTTGGATTTACAATTTTTCCATACTAAAAGGGCTCGATTCTAGTCTGACTTGCAATGTATCATGCAATACATGATATTGCAGTTGTGCAGAAAGAGAACTTTTGAGATATGCTATGATAGTTGTGAGTTGGATATTAATCTAATCTTAACATTTTGCTTGTTTTAATGGATTTTTTTTGTTTGCATAGATAGAGGCTTCAAATAATTCTTGATTGGCCTTGACTTTGATTTAATGTCTTAAATAAGGATTATATTTATACTGATAAATGGGAACACAGAATTAGTTTGCTTCATGCTTGCTTATGTTAAAAATGATTATGCATGTCATTTTTATTTTGGGTTTTACAAAAAAAAATCCGTTACTGCCATCATTTTTATATACGATACTCTTTATATATAATTCTAGACAGCCCTCTGTGTGTTTTCCATTTAAAGAACTTGTTGATTTCAAAAGAAACAGGCATAAGCATGCATTTACATTTCAGGGTTCAAAATCAGTAGGATCCTGAGATCTCTAACAATGTCAGGCCATCTAAAAATGAAGTATGTTGCTCTCCCAGATTAGCAGTGCTAAGGAGGTAAAAGGTCTAGAAAATGAAGAATTCGTCTATAGGTGAAGTGTGCTTAATTTATGGCTGAATTAAGCAAAGTCCTTTTTTGCTGCTCTGACAGCTGCGTTGATTGTATAGAACTCTGACCAGAATCTAAAAAAAAAAAACAACAACTTTTTGCATAGATTTGCAGTGATGCAAACATCCTTCAGTAAGAAACCTCGTTGATTACTCTAGGCCAGTATATAATGCTACTTTACTAGCTGTATATGAAATCTGAAATTCAGACATTTCACCTTCTAATAATTGTACTCTTAGTTGGAATAATGAATGGAAAATTTCAGTCTTATATGGATACAAAATGTTACATAAATGCTAAATATTCTGTTCAGACCATTGTACAAACATGTATCTGATTAAATTATCTAGATTGGTAATGCTCGTAAATGGCAAATATAGGGTGTTTTTGAATGGGTATCTAATACACCTCTACCTCGATATAACGCTGTCCTCGGGAGCCAAAAAATCTTACTGTGTTATA